GATCATTTAAAATTAAATACATTATTGAAATTTTCTCGCTTTAGGAAATCTCACAGTAATGGAGATTGAACTTTGGATATTTTTCAGGAAATTGTTGTTGTTACTTCAGGGCCAAGACACGTAGTGAAATCACGCGTTTTTATCCAACAACTTCATAAATTGTAGTCCCCTCAGCCTGTTTTATATATCCTTGTCCAAGTTAACGCACGAATCATGCCTCTCTTATCTCTCCTTGCCAAAAGTTACCGGATCATGGCTAATGCTAAGCTATGTGTTGCAAGAGCAAGAGTCGTTTTCATCTTGGCAGCCTTGATGATGGCTCTTGCAATGACCTCTCTGGCCAGACCACTTTTTCATGGGGGTGACAAAAATCCCATGACTGATAGGACCGCACTCAATGGAAACAGGAAGGATTTCACATCAACTGCATATGGACATGGTAGCTCACCTAGCGGATCTGCCCACTTTCACCTCCTAAAACGTGCCTTGGGTCATTCTAATAGGAACGCACCTGGTGGACCTGATATTCCGCGTTAAAGAGAGGTTCTTGAATCAGCTAGTGGACGGCCCGATCCTGGGCATCCCTAGTCTCATCCCCAAAAGGCAAAAACCCAAGCTAAGCCCTTAAACTTTCCTTATTTTCTCAACTACACAAGCTCTTAAGAAAAAAAAGTGGCATGTAAGTCTCTATACGTCTGGATTTGAGTATATTAGCCCTTATGTTGACTGTAACTGCTAAATTATGTGTGCTCAAGTAAGTTAAACAGTTTTTTTTTTTTTTTTCGGCTTATGTAACAATTCCTTTATAGTTAATTAGAAGCTGCTGTGGGTGAATTAGTTCTTCAACTTTTAATTTTGAAAATTTTAAGTTAATTATATGCATTAGGCCTTTAATTGTAAAAAGATTTGCCAAGTATAAAGGAATTGTCATGCAAGCAAAAATATAAAAACCATTGTTTAATTTATGTGACTGCATGGGAATTTTACCCTTAACACAAGGGTTAATTTACTCAAACTCAAGCATCTAGAAGCTTGCATGCCACTTTTTTTTTCTTTTAGAGCTTATGTGAGAAGATGAGAAAAACTAGGGGCTTAACATTTGATTTTGCCTCCCAAAAATGTCTCGAGTCTTTTGATGTTAAAGATTTTCTATTGTCGTGTAACTTAGAATATTCAAAACAATATGGACATATGTTTGTCAGCTACTCCTCTGGGTTGTTTGTGTGGCTAAAGAACCTAATTTTGCTCTGTCATTTCTGTTAAAAAATGTTTTTTTTTTTTTTTTTTTTTTTTTTTTATCAACCATTCATGCAATCAGCTGAACATATTTTTTTTTTTTTTTTTTGATGTTGTTATTTGCTGGCTGGTTGCCTTTTTGCCTTGGTTGAAAGGGACCTTTAGTACGTAGGTTCATCACTCTTCAGTGTCGGTCTTCGCTCATGAGCTCAAAAGTAGTAAGCCGACTAAGGTTTGGTTTTCACAACAATTTTTGGTACTTTATTTTTATATTTTTTATTATTTTAAAAATATATAAAATATTAATTAAAATAAATATTAAATATATAAAATATATTTTATACATTTTAAAATGTTAAAAGACAAAAGAATCCATAGTTATATATATATATAGATTAACGTTCTCAAATTAAACTTAAAATTAACGAATTTTTTTGTAATTAAAATTTATTTTTTATTAACCAAAGATAATTATATTATTAAAATCAAATACAAACGGTACTTAATCCATTTCTAAAATTAGTAGTGCTAGAGTATATAAAGGCCTAGCTGAAGTTGAAATCTGTTGATTCAAACTTATGCAGCACACTAACCATTATCTTATCAGCGACTATTTTATCCAGAAAATTGTTGCTATTTGTCACAAAGAAATGGAGAGAAAATCTGGAAGAATTGCGTGTCTTTATTAATTCGAATACTTGTACATAGCAAAAGTTACAGAGAAAAAGTCAAGAGTTCACTTTCACTTTTCCCAAAGTTGTGTTGCCTTGTCTCCTTGTTGGTATCAGTAGGGCTGGGCATTTGAAATCGAATCGATAGGATATTTAAAAATTGAATGGAAAAAGTGAATTTGGTTTAATTTAAATGGTTTTTGATTTTTTTTTTCGATTTTGACATAACCAAATATATTTCAGTTAAGTTTTGGTTGAATCTTTTAAAAATTGAAAATCGAAAATAAATCTTTTAAAAATTAAAATTAAGATAAATATGATAAAATATAATATATTATTAAAAAATAATTGATTATTATTTATTTATCAAAAATCAAAATTGAATCGATTTTATTGATAACCAAATTGATCGATTTTTGATAATTTTGGTTTGATTTGGATTCTCAAAATTAAAAAAAAAAAATTCGGTTATTTTAAAACCGATTTCAAATTTAACAGAAAATCAGTTTTGCCCCCTAAGTGTCAGTAAACAACAAAAATCCACTCTCATCAGATTCCCAAACACAGGGTCTGCTATATGAATAAATGAGAGAGCCTTGTAAGCTGATTGCACATAACCTGCGTGTTGGTAACCTAGGAAGCTAAAACCCACTCTCAACAACAGATTCCCAAACACCATTGCCTTTCAAAAGAACTTTCATCTTAATGTCACAGATGTTATAGTTTTCTCTTATGAACCAGGGTGGATTAGAGATCGGACATATCAATTGGTCACAGCTTTTCTCCCTCACAAACTCTTGTGTTTACTCTCTCTCACTTATCTCTCTTGTTTTTCTCTAACAGGTCCCTCAAGAAGGAGGGAACTGATACCAAATTTTGATGTGTTTGCTTGTATTTTGCAGAATTAAACCAGAAAATAAACGAGATGAAGACAGGCTTACTGTTAGGAGCTCAGCTTCTGGTTCTGCTCTCCTTTATTTCATCCATATTCTGATTGTACAATAGGGACCACAATTTAGATGGCAATCTAGTGCCAACGGTACATTGAGGGGTGTTTGTGACTATGCTCTATTAACTCCACCGAATCCCTGGCACCATACATATACAAAATATCTAGAGACATGTTTCCTTGATTGAAGGAATTACACTAACAAGAAAAATATAGCCAACCGCTGACTTAGAGTTACAATGCAAATGCCATTCTAGCTTTGAGCTTTAACACAATTGTCTCCTGCTGATATTTGAACCAGTTATAAAATTGTCAAACGAGTTTGCAACTGATTTAATAGTGTTAAATGCTTTGTTGACATTTGCATTTTTCCTTCTAGTCCCTTATTGATGTTTTCAAAAACTGGAATTGGGCGAGCTGATGCCTCTTATCACCATAGTCTACTCTTTGGTCCCCTGTGTACCCAGAGGAGGGTACGTTATTTCGTGTAAACGAATTCTTATTTCGATTTTCATTATTATTTGTCTGTTAAATTGTGTATATATATTCTCATTATATGTATGTATATACGTGTGTGTCCTGTTGAATCTCTGTAAAAACATATTGCTGGTGCCTTCAAGTGTGCTAAGTAATTGCTGGTGCCTTCAGTTGTGCTAGGCAATTCTCCTACATGAAACTTTCATTCTAAGCATGTTCAAAATTTTCTTTGTGAATTGGTTAGATATCGCTAACTTCATATAATAATTTTTATTTTTAAGGCTTCTCTCTTACTATTTGAATGCATTTAGTTCTTCAATTTACTGCACTGAAAAGCTCTTACTCCTTGAATTCGAAGGCAACACATGATCCTTTTTTTTGGGTGGGGTGGGGGAGGGTAAAATATTCTACTTTGTCCTGATAAATTGATTCTTTTTTACTGTTGAAATTATTGTCAGAATTGTGGCATTTAAATATGCAAAAATGATAAAATGAAGCTGCCAAGCTAGAAATTGACAACTAATGAAGCTCTAATCTTGATAGCAAAAGAGCAGCAAGTTAGCTGCATTTTTATCGTCATTTAATGTCATTAAAGTGAAACAGCAATTGATGAAGAAGATGATGCCGTGAAATGCAAATGCAAATGAAAATGAAATGAAGGGTTGCATTTTTCACAGCCAAATTACAACAAGCATGCAGCAAAAGGGCTGTGTCGTCTTTTACGAGTTTTCGATATACTTCATCGTCGCTTTTTTACATAGAAAAGTTGCTTAGACAAAACAAGAAAACATAAAGTAGAATACTTTTTGATGTAGAAAAGTTGTTTACATGTGAAGTCTAAAGACAACCTAATTGATCCTTTACCAAAGCATTATCAAGAGATATAATAAAAAGAATGATAGAAGAAATGGGGGTTAAATATTTAAATTAGGCATTGGTAATGGAACCAATTTTGATTTAGTCACATATATATTTAAAGTTTAATGGGTAAAAACAAGTTATTATATATTCTTGTTTAGTAATTGATATCCATTCCTAAATTAGTTAAGTGCTATTTGTTGTGTTTTTGGAAGATGTGTGTATACTCTTAATAGAGTTGTTGATTACTAAATGTTTATAGCAATAGGGACATAGAGTACTTAATCAAAATGAGCATATTCTCACTACAAGAAAATCCACATTTAGTGACTAAATTATTGATCATTAAATCTTTATTTTTCGTCACAAATTATTATTAGTGATAAAATTTAAACCGTTAATAAAACCCTTGTCACTAATGCTCTTAATGACAAATTAAGTACCTGTCACAGAAAATAATTTTATAATGATAAAAAAATTGACATTGTTAACAAGTTATTTATAACAATTTTATTCGTCACAAAAAAATATTCGTCACAAATGCAATTATGATGCAAAATTTAGTTATTAATTATTAAAATTGATATTAAATAAAAACGATATGTATATAATTATAACACAAATATTTTAACAAAAATTTTGTCACAAAAAAAAATATAAATTTATCACAAAAGTTTAATAAAAAATATTATTATTTCAATACTAATAAATTTTGATTAAAATTAATCAAGCCCAATTAAAATTAATCAGGCCTAAACTAATCTCAAGTTTTATTGAGTTTCACATGTTTTATAATGCAAAAAGTTTATTTTCTTAAATATTTTTTGTCGATATGGGATATATGTGCAAAACCTTATTTTTTTATGTGTTTTTTATTGATGTGGGATGCATTGATTAGGGAAAATTGACAGTTTTTAGTGACGAAATATATTTTTTAGTGCTAAATTATTTAGTCATCATTGAATGTGTAAGGTATATGTGACCAATATTAAAATTTTGTCATAATTGTAATGTATTATAGTGATTATTTTTATCGACAAAAGCTTATTTTATCTCTATGAATATTTTTCGGTAACGAAATATATTTTTTATGATGAATTTTTTTGTTAATCATTAAATATGTATGCATCTGTGACTAATTTTTTAGATCTGTCACAATTGTGATAAATTATAGTAATGATTTCAAAATTCATCACAAATTTCTGTCACTAAAAATCATTTTTCTTGTAGTGTCTCATAACTGTGGTTATAAGGTTTTTTAAACCTCTTGAGTTAGATAAGCAACACTTATGTTTGTCATGCACTCACATAAGTAGTTATAGTTTAA